CCATTGCTTTTTACAATTTGTCTCAAACTTTTTTCTATGAAAATCTTTTGGTGTGTGATCTATATTATTTTCCCATGTTATGGGATTTTTTGTGATCATCAAATATGAACACAAAAGAGAAAGTTTTAAATAATTGAATTCGTGTGTGTTTGTCGAAAATGACAAGACATGAGATGTATAAGATTGTGCAACTCCTGATAATCATTTGAGCAGATCTACCAAACCATACATTATAATGGTGGAGATCTCAAACGCAATCGATTAGTTCAAATGATTAAAGAGACTAGAATGATTAAAGATACTAATATTCTAATTAAATTTCGAAAACCTGAAAAAAGAAAAGAGTTTGTGATTCAAAACCATATAAACACCGGAAATAACATGAACAGAAGTTGAGGGTTTATTATTAATGTTTAATCAGTCTTTTAAGTTACAGAAAAGATATACATTGATGATAGATTTGCAAGTAGAACAGGCCATGTGGTTAATAATTAGTGAGATGGATTTACAAACAAAAGAAAAAAGAGAGTAAAATGGGATTCAAAGGGGTAAAAAAAGACTACAGGTTTAGGGTTTTAGAAAGAAACAATGTGGAAGTTTCTGGTGGAAACTGTCCTTTTCTCTCTTAAACGAGGTTACAAAATTTGAGGTGGTGAGGTAAATTTGTGGGGACCACATAACTCACTTGGAATTAGTGTTTAGCATTAACTTTCAGGTATTGCTACCACTACCACCTTCTTCTGCATCTCTCTAATTACTCTTCTTTCCTTTTTCATCTCTTATTTTTTACTGTTTTCTGTTTTGTTGTGTTTCAATTGTCTTTTAGTAGACTTCACTAATTGAGCTTTTTGATGTGACCCTTCTTCATTATTTTCCCCATGATTTGGTGAATCTCATGCAACTGTTTATATTTATGATCTTTTAAAGAAAGGGAAACAAAATAAGGGATTCCTAACAAAGTTCAATAAATAAATATCCCTGAAATCAAATTCAGTATCCATCTTCAAGACTTCAACGATTGATTTTTTTTTAACATGGAATATTTTTTTTTTGTTTGGTGAATTTAAATTTCATTTAATTAAATACAAAATGTACAAATAAAGTCTCTTTGTGCTTTACCACAAATTAACATGGAGATTACTGAACAAGATAATGTATTAAATATCTCTAAGAACTTCAACTAGTATTATATGAAATCGTGCGTCTTGTGTTGTAAGGAAATGCTTTGCGGATTCAACTTACCACAAGATAACATATAAACAAATATGTTCTGGTTGCTTTTTTCCTTAATATAAAACTCACGAGGTTTTTGTTTTTGATATCTGGTATTATCTTTCGGCTCTTTCGGCAACTTTAACTAATGACCTTACAATTTATCTGTTCTTCAAAGATTCGAATATTTAATTCTTGATTAAAAACTGAAAAGCAAAAAGTCGTCGGCAAAAATGAATTCACCTATAGTGGTACGAAAAATCTTATAATAAAAGTTGATAACCTCGGAATCTTTGGATAGTCATAGGTTTTCTATAGCTGTAATCATAACCTATTCTCTTTTGAAACCTCGTGAAGCTCCTCTTCTCGTTTTTTTTTCAAAAACTATTTCGGTTTCAGTTTTGCTAGTAAAAAATTAAATGAACTAATATTAACATAATAGGATTCAACTTCAATTTTGTTTTAAGTGTTACATTCAGACAGATCCCTCCATTTCCAAACTCGCATACTTGTAGAATAGTCGGATTTCGAATCAAATCACCCGAATTATTAACAAAAAAAAAAAGTTAGGTCCTTGAATAATACTTGTGGAGGACCAAAACAAATAAGATAATTCGGGCCTAAGATAAAACAGAGTTCCAACCAGGTAGGTTTTAACTCAATTGGGCCTTAGACAAATGAAGCTTTAAAACTTAATTGGGCCTTAATGTCTTCCAATTACGCGGGAACAATGCGACGCCGTCGTTTGGCGCTATATTCTATTGGACACGAGTGCACGCGCTAAGCTGATGCGCGTGGTATAAACATGTAAGTAGAATCGAAGTGGGGGCTTTACACGATTCACGAACTTAGCGTAAGCTACCAAAAGGCGCAATAAATTAAAATGATGGCTTGTGGTTTTAGGTCACACACCGACAGCTTCAGTTCAAGCCACGTGTTTTCTCCATTTATTTCGGCTTCTTCTTTTTGCCTTCACATGTAATTGTTTATTATTTTTTTTTTTTTAATGGTTGAATTTCTTAATTCCAGTTTAAGTATTATCACCTCATCATTAACTATAGGAGATTGACTAATTAACTACCCCTTTATTTATATTTCTTGAACTCACTATTTGTCTTATTCCTTGTTATATTAAGAATTTAAGACTAACAAGGAAAAGTTCAAAGACCGTCTCTTTCACTCTACCGTATTATATAATTCCGAATATATATACATTTTCTTAGCTCAAACCATAAGTAGTCTATTTCACTATGATTCTTATTGTATACTCTTGTTTTATATTTCGACCAGAATGATTTTACAACTTTATGAAAAAGAATTGGAACAATAACTTTATTTTTTGGTTTTGTTATCGATCTTATGTTATTTGTAAATCTTCGCAAAAGTTTTCTCTTATCTAAAGTACTAAAATCCTTATAAACATTGATGTTTTAAAATATTATGATCATTCGTTTATCGTGCATGACCATTTGATACTTATTAAACTACGGATCAAAATCAACAATTATTCACTCGCAAAAATATAATTTATCTCAAGGGTTTAATATATAAGTATACAACTTGTTTGTTTCTGAATAAGAAATATTCCATTAATAAAAAAATACGAGTTTGTTAATAAAGACAAAAAGAAAGTGGTGCTTATTCAATGATCATAATAAAAAAAGGATTTAACCGGTAAATAAATACTACTCCGAGCCGAGCCGTGGCTTAAAGAAATCCCGAAGTCAGCTAAAATAATTATAAATTTTCAGACACCGTGTGGTCCCCACCACCAGCCTGTCCGAAAACCCAAACCTGTTTTTTGACACACAAACAACACAGACCAGCCAGCTAAAACTCACA